TCAGGGTAGGGCTGATTGGGGGGTTGGGGCATATATATATAGATGTTGAATAACCAAATCTATATTAATGTAGCAAAACTTCTGCTTGACCCTGACAATGATTCAGCACTGCTACAGGTGTGCATTCATTTGTTTAAATATTCACTGAGTTTTCACTACATGGGAGGTCTTTGGGAGACATTATTAAATAAAATGGATAAAAATTATTTTCTTTAGTAAAGCTTAGATTCTGGAATATGAAACACTTATTCAAAAAATTTCTACTTTTGAACCCTTTAATAGTCAATATATCTTAATAAATTTTATTATATCTTGAAGATAAAGCTTTCCATAGTTATTTAAACCTAGAATTGTATTACTAAACAAATGATATAGTAGTAAGGTAAACTCTTCTTGTCTCATATTTTCAGAAATTTTTAATTAATTTGCTTCTATCTATTCAAATATAGAAAATGCTCAGTATTCATCAGCTAAGCAATTATTTTACTTATGTGTTGTATCCCATAGGATGAGATTAAGTAGTATATGATGAAAAACATAAATAACTGTGACCTAAAAATAATAGTTTACTTTTCTCTCAGGTGAAAAGGAGTCTGGAGGCACCTCTCTGGGACTGATATGGCGGGTCTGCTGTTTGAAATGTATCTGAAATGGACAGCCCCTGTAAGGAGTCAGGAGCTTGGACCAATTCTCTTATGGAATAAAAGGGAGAGCTATGGGGAAAAAAAGATACATTCAACACTTGGAATTAAGTCTTGCAGGTTTCAGGTCAACTACAAGCACTAGGAATTGGCCTGAACACTTGCACATCCTTTTGTCCCAGAGCAATGGACCATAGAAGAATCCTTAAGCACCTCCAGTTGGCCTTTGACAATAGTGGCTATTGTTTTGGTGACAATGAGGTCTGAGAACATTTTCTTTTCTTTTAAGACTATTATATGGAAAATAAACAACAGCAACTAGGAATATGGACTCTGGTGTTTTAGCACTGCATTTTATCAAGATTTCTTCAATGCATATTCTTCCAGTTGGACTCTAATCTCCCTGAGGATAGAAATTGTGCACTGCACATTTTTTTCATTCCCATAGTCTTGTAGCACAAGATCCTACATGATCTTGCTCTTGCTCAGCTCTCCAGTTTCATCCTGTCATATTCTTCCTTCTCTTGAGATTCCTGGAGTGAGCCCATATCCTTCAGTATTAGAGAAACAGGGATTGGTTGCTGGGCATCTCCAAACAAAAACAGCTGGGTCCTCACATTACAGTGGAGCTCAGCATTGAAAGGCTCCACTCAAATACACAATTTCAATCCAACCACCACAAGAGGAGTCCTGATTGGTCTTCATCAAGAATGGTAATCTTGTGGCTTTGGCCAGTGATTGGACTGGTGGAGACCCTATGGCACTATTATGGAGGTTGGCTATATGGGGCCATCTATACAATATTTGACTTTTCAGATTAAAGGAAACAAATTGGCCTGCATGACCCTTCACCCAATTCCCTCCTCATTTTCAAGCATGGAAAGCAGATATGATACTAGTGGTCATCTTTTCTTAATTGGTTGACACAGATGAAGGAAAGTCTGAGAATCTTACAAATGTATGGCCATGGTCAACTCTGAGCCTATATCCACACTTCTTGTAATGTGTGAAAAATCCTGATTTTTATATTCTTACTTGTGGGTAGTCTGAATGCATTCCTAGGTGGTAATCCAACATATGCCCATCAAGAATGATGGAGGGAAAAGAGAAAATATAGTGGAGGGTATAAAAAAGAAATTCTAGAACTGAGGGACAGTGGTTTGTAGATTGAAACAGGTCATTAAGTACCCAAAACATGAAGAAAATTAAACCTGAACAAGCCATCCTACCAGAAATTTCAGAACACTAGGTGTGCTTTATAAAAATCTAAAAGCTAACAGAGAAAAAATAAGTCATATACAAAATGTTAGGAATCATTGCGGTATTGGATTTCTTCACAACACTGAAAGCTAGAACACAATAAAGCCATGCATTCAAACCCTGGAAGAACTGATTTCTACTATAGAATTCCATACTCAGGCAACTTAGAAAAAAAAGTGTAAAGGAGAGCAAAATTATTTTTCTATATTCAGCCTCATAATTTTTACTTCTTGTGTACCCTTCTTAGGAAACTCCAAAGGAAGAAGGAATATGCTCCACAAAAGCAAGGGAGTGCACTGAGAGAAAAGGCATGGGACCCCCGGAACAGACTTTGATAGGAGAGAGGCAAAAGGAATTCACCAGCATGGTAATGAAAAGTCCTAGATGAGAACTTCTGAGTGGATCCAAGTGCAACTCTCTCATACTACAGCAGGAAAACAAAAACTCCAAGACAGAGGACTCCCAAAGGAAAAGCAATGGTGTTTACCAACAGTATTACTATTCTTGTGGTGAGTTTAAAGAAAAATTAGCAGTACAGACAGTCAACTCAGCAAACAAGAAATAAAATAAGGTTTTATTAACTACAGGAAAACAAAAATATGTGCATGCAAAAAATTATAATAATGGCCAAAGTGGCTCCCTTGTGCATAATAATTATATATATAAAGCCAATGACTGGAACGCTGTAACGACCAGAATGACCAGTCACTATGACGCCCATTGCATCCAGCGAACTGGTCAGATCAGGGGTGAGGCCAGCTAGCCAACTTCTCATGGCCCCTCCCCTTGCCAGCCCTGCCCCCAATTGGTCTCTCCCACCTTGATCAAGGGGGGGGAAGCTGGCCAACCCCCCTGTAGCCCCTCCCCCCCTGCTGGCCTGGCCCTGATTGGGCCCTGATCGGGGTCTGGATGGCCAGACCCCACCCATGCACGAACTCATGCACTGGGCTACTAGTAAGTCATAATAATGGAAATCATAAATATTGACCTAAGGAAGGATTATGATATAGGTATTTTGGGAAAATGGGAGAGAGATGTGCTAGAGAATTAAATTCTAATCTATCAGAGTAAAAATCCATAGATATCTAAATGTTTAATACAAAAAAATAACATTATGATACTGTTATTTAAAAAGAACATGACAAGTTAAATTCCTGAAAGAATGGCTACAGACTTTTAAACAAAGTGTAAAAATAAGGACAGGACAGAAAATCTCTGTTCCTCCTCATCTGAATATTTACCTTTTAAAAAACGTGCATGTTTTATTTTGATGCAAATTAAATTAAAACACTTATTTGTCAAAAAATAAATTGAGGAAAGCATTAAAACACATCTTTTTTTAAAAATATATTTTATTGATTTTGTACAGAGAGGAAGGGAGAGAAATAGAGAGTTAGAAACATCGATGAGAGAGAAACATCGATCAGCTGCCTCCTGCACATCTCCCACTGGGGATGTGCCTGCAACCCAGGTACATGCCCCTGACCGGAATCAAACCTGGGACCTTTCAGTCCGCAGGCCGACGCTCTATCCACTGAGCCAAACCGGTTTCGGCGAAAACACATCTTCTGTAGTTGTAATAAGGAGCTCTAAAAGCAAAAATGACTGTTTCATTAAGATTTGTTTTCATGATCTGGTTTTCTATTTGTTTGTTTCCATGCTTTTTTAGAAAATACTTCTGTACAGTTTAAAAGAGGCCTTCTAAAGTCCACTACAAAAATGAGGTGTCTTAGATATGAGAAAGGTTTCTGATAGGAAAATTTAAGCATCATAAGAAAAGAATTTGCTGGGAACCCTAAAAAAAAACTAGCAATCTGTACAATAACCTTTTATTCAGCTCATGCACTTTCCTTCATTGAAATACAAAATTACAACCTTTCAATTAAAGCAAAACTTTCAATTAAGGGACAATCTTCACTTTTTTATAGCTTTGTAATAATTTGACAATAATAAGTCTGTAGATCTTACGAGGCCTCATATGAAATGCTGTTTTCCTGGGGAAAGCTCTTCATGGAAATTTAGGTATGGTCTTGAAATATGATGATCATTTTTTATGTTTTACGTATAATAATACTGAAATTCTGAGCTTATCTTGCAGTCATATTTTAAAATAAAATTATATTTTTAAAAGAAATTGAACATATATGTGTGCATGTGTGTGGGCAGATGGGGTGAATATATATCTGAATAATCAAAATAATTTCTGAAGTTGCTCTTTCAATTTTAATGAGACAAAAGACCTCTAGAAAATTTTCCAGGGGTAGAGTACCGAGTAAGTCAGGATTTATCTTGTACAATGATTTTGCCTTGAATTAATTTGTGTATGTTTCCCCCTCCTCCCTTCCCCCTTCCCCCGTCCTTCCTTTTATCCCCGAAAACAGTCAAACATTAACTCTGTAAAAAGGTGTCTTCAGTAGTAAACTGATGAAGAGAGCAATTATATTAATTATCTCAATTATTTATTGTAAATAAAGATTTTTATCCCCTTAATAGAGTCTGGGTTGATAATCCTGGTTATATTTGCATAGGTAAAAGCAAATCCTGAGAAGGATTCATCCCAGTGATCCAAATCCCCCTAAACAGTTCACTTATGAGCTTTGTGTCTTTACAAGAGTGGCCCCCTCATCTGGGAGTTTCTTCCTAGTCTACCTAGCACATCTTAATCACCTTTAAACTCGGCTTGGCATCCATTCACCTGCCTTCAGATGGTCTCTCTTACCAATGTCCACTCCCCAACTCTCCGTATTAAACCAGCATGCCCCTCACTCTGTAACATGCCCTCCACCCACCAAGGGCAGCCCTCTCTGCAGTGTTCTTCAGTGCTCTCGCTGGCTTCTCCCATCATCACGGCGTGTCACTTCAAAACACTGGACCAGGGGGTGTGTTATTATGATAACACAATTTAATTAAAGCTTACCAAGCCAACAAAATGTGCATGGGCGAAGGATGTGTTTATCTTAAAACTAATTTGAATGCTCTTTTTGAGAAGATTTGATGAAGTTAAGTCTTCAAAACTGCACACAAAAAATGTGAAAACTAAATAGATAAAACAAGCATAAATTTGGGGGAAAACAATGAAAAATGTGGAGGAATAGGGACCTCGGGTGCTTCAAAAGAGCCTTTTTGCGTTCACTGCTCAGTAAATATATTGAAACTGAAAATCGTCAAAGATTCATTATAAATGTGCTTTACACAAGAAGGAAGCCTCAGATTTCCGATCAGTGGGCTTAGACATACAGAAAGGTTTGGGCTTTCCTCAAAGGATTGGTAAAACAGAAAACCAAGCAACCAAACAAAAAAACAATGTTTCATTGGGGAGAAAAAGCTTATGTTAATATGTACTCTCTTAAGTACCCACTTTAAACTCAGTGATTAACCAACAGTCCTTGATAACACATAATAAAGAAAAAGGGCTTCAATTAGTAAGTACATTCTGATCTGTAGCACCTTTGCTCATTAATAAACTAAACATTTATTCAATATATTCAATGCTTTAAACACTAGGCTAAGTTCTGGGAAGATAGTGGTGAAAAAGCAAAATGTGGTCTAACCCTCTGCCCCTGTGGGGCTTAAAATTGTGCAATGTCGTGTTATCTTTTAGCATCTCATTGAACTATAAATGTGTGTTTACATATCTGTCTTCCTTGCTGTTGACAACCAGATAAGAAGTCTGACATATAATTTCCAATTTTGTATTTTTAGTGCCTTACGAAATATCTGGGAATTAGTAAAAACTAAGTTGATTGAAGTGAATTCATAAATAAAGTTCCACATTCATTTTATCTGAAAATTCTAATATCTACAAGCTCATAGAGATCAATATTGGGACTTATAATTTGTAGATTTACCTGCTGGACAATCCAATGGCTGGAACTGGAACACAAGGACAGCAATAACTTTTTTCAATGGAAAAAAATGACCTCACTATTGCACAATTACTTATTAATTGGGGCATTACTTACCTAGGGAAGTACTTACACAGCATGCACTTACTTTCAGAAATTTTCACTATAGTCAGTCCTCAGCAGGTCTCCGGCACAAAAGTTCAGCAAGGAAATAGCCTCACGTCATGCAAGTGCCTTTTAATGAATTTTTCTGCACAAAAGATGAAAAGGCCAGTCAGAGCAGCAATTCATTTCTAGTTGAGGGGGATGGGGCTTAAGCTGCAATTCTTCAAATGCTGCTGTATCCCCCCACACGCCTCCAAATTTAACACTTCAATCCCATAGTACAGACTGGAATATATACATAAGGATTCCTCAGAGCAGCTTACACTTTTAACTATTTTTTCTGCTAAAAAGGCCTTTTATTGCCGCCCAGAAAAAAAATTAATGAAAAGTCATATATGGTGTCTTAATCAATATCATTGATAATTTCATCTGAAAATCTAGATGTTCCTTTTTGACTCTCTATTGGAATCTGATCTTTGTTTCCAGGATGTATTGGCTGAATTATTACAGTCATCAAATGTCCTCAAGTACTAGTATATCTGCTCTCATCTGGTTTAAACATCAGTCTTTGATGTTTCTGTGCTATCCATGGATGTCAAGATTTCTTTAACAGATGGTGGTGTTTCACACTTCCAATTTCCAATATAACTAGAGCAGTTATCTGGATAACATGCAGTCTTAATTTACTGAAAGTACAGCCACTGTTGTTTTTTTGTGAAATTTAAAAATGCAGAGAAATACAAATAACATATATCAAGTATCCATGAACCTACCACCCAGTATTAAAAGTTGTTAGTATTTTTGACACATTTGATTCAATGTTTTTAAAAAAGATGTTTATTTTATATATATAATACTAATATGCAAATAGACCGAACAGCAGAACAACCGAACAACTGAACAACCGGTCACTATGATGTGTGCTGACCACCAGGGAGCATGCATAGAACATGGCAGGCATCACTGTGACAGGATGGTGGAGCAGGTGAGTGGGGGAACCAGACCAAGACTGGGTGCTAGTCACTGTCATCAGGGTGAGCCTCTGGTGGTTACTGAAAATTCTTTGCTCCCATGTGCCGCGGTCCCACCAGGCGCTCACACCTCCTGCCGGCGCCAATCCCGCTTACAACTGCTGCCGGTGCTAGAGCCACCATGCGCACCCACTGCTGGTGCCAGTCTTGATCTCTCAGCACCATCAGCAGGTGTGAGTGGCAGTTGCTGGCCCCAATCACCCCTGAGAGCTTCTCCACCTCCCCCTGCTACTGAGGGGCAATCGGGGCAGCAGCCGGTGCTTGCACCCATTGATGGCACCAGCCCCAATCATTCTGCGCTGTCAGTGGGAGTGAGCTGACAGGGGACAGGGGACTGCAATGGGAAGGGCAGGGTGGGGGCACATAAGAGGGGCCAAGTCCTGCCCCTGTGCCAACTGCAGCATCGCAGCCCACAGTCCCTTTCAAGGTGCACAAATTCGTGCACTGGGCCCCTAGTATATAATAAAGTGTTACAGATAAAATTGAGGTCTCTTTGTTCTCTATTCCAAGTCTGAATTCTCTCCTTCCCAATGGTATCTTCCCCAAAGGTAGTCCTTTTTGTGAATTTAGTAGATATCTTTTAGT